AAATGTCAAAGTTCAAAATGAAATAAAATACATAAAAAGTCAGTTCCTTTAACAAAACAAATGTGTTTACAGTGTTGTAACAGAAAGTCCTCTGAGGTTCATTATCAAGAGTAACGATACGTCACTCTGGAGGGACGACTGTGGCTCATTTTTCCTGTTGACACTTTGTACACAGAGATGTCATTAACCTAATGAGCAAAGCTCAGTTAAAAACAGTAACCAACTATTTGTAACCATAACACAACAAGTAGTTATGCTTTGCCCAAGTACCAAAGTTCAGTGAAATGTTTAGCCTCATTTTGTGTGATGCTAAACCCTAAACAAGCCAATATGATGAAGGTCAGCATTAGAAATATCTCCAAATGGGTTCTGTTGTCTGAGATTTGCACATTAAATTGGGCTCAAACAACCTCTTGTTCTAAATTTTAGATAAATTTGTTGATATAACAGCACATCTTCTAACAGAAAATATAATGCACATTAAATAAGGTCACATAAAAAAAGACTGTCAAAGAATTTAGGAATGCCAAAACACAAAAACAAAACAAAAATACAATTTAAACGTATATAATACAGCTGAATCCAGTCAAGTGCTCTTTAATTTGAAATGTTTTTTTTTTGTGTGTATTTTTTACCTTTACATTTCAAATTTGACACTTTATGAGTTGATGTATATTAAGGTCTGTAGCACGTGAAACACACATTCCTATTTTATTTTTAGTATCCCACGTACATTAGACTACTTGTGGTACAATGAATTAACATTTACAAATGGGTGACACGGTGAAGCAGTGATTTGAGCTAGTGCCTGACAGCAAGAAGGTTGCAGATGTGTGGCCTTTCTTAGGTGGAGTTTTCTTGTTCTCTCCGTGCATGCTTGGGTCCTCTCTAGGTACTCCAATTTCAACTCACAGACAAAAAAAAAAAACATGCATGTTTGTTTAATTGCTAACTCTAAATTGCCCCTAGGTGTGATTGAGAGTGTGGATAGTTGTTTATCTTGTTTGTCTCTACGTGTTCCTGTGATGGCCTTGCAACATGAACTGCTGGAGTGCAGTTGCACAAGTTCCCCGGAAGACCGGAACGAAGAATAAATGTATGAATCGGATGGATGGAAAGTAAATGGTTACATTTAGGTTACATTTTGGAATCATTTCAACTGAGTATTTCTACCACAACTTATCATCCATCCATCCATTATTTTTACCCACTTATTCCAGTCTCCAGTCCATCACAGGGACACATAGAGACAAACGAGACAAACAACCATTCACTCTCTCACGCTCACCTAGGGACAATTTAGAGTTACCAATCAGCCTAACATGCATGTTTTTGGTCTGTGGGAGGAAACCGGTGCACGCGGAGAAAACACACGCATGCACGGAGAGAACACACAAACTCCACCCAGAAAGGCCCCCGGACCGGGATTTGACCCAGCGTAACCTGCTCGCTGAGAGGCAACAGCTCTACCAGTTGTGCCACCGTGCTGCCCCACAACTTAGCAACTTTGGTCAACACAAAGAATGGCAATAAATGTGTCAATTTAAGAGACACTGACCTACAATTAGATGAAGTACAGTGTTCCCTCACTTATCGCGGGAGTTAGGTTTCCAGAAACCCACGCAATAGGTGAAAATCTGAAGTTGGGACGTTATATTTATTTTAGTATTTATATATATTTTCAGAGATTCAGAGAGATTTATTTGTCATTCGCATCTCATGTGGTACATGTGGTGGAACGAGATTATGTACGCAGGGTCCCAGTTACATCCAACAATGAAATGTAAAAGAAAAACAGTAATAGGATCTAAGATATTAAGAAAAGATCAGCAGCAACATGAAACAGATCAACAGCAACATGATGTATTTTTTTCACAGTGATTATTCTAGTTAGAGATTCATGAATCTAACAGCCTCAGGGTAGAAGCTGTTCCTCAGTCTAGTGGTTCTACACTTAATGCTCCTCAACCTACTTCCTGAGAGGAGTGGGACAAAAAGTGTGTGTGAGCTGGGTGAGTGGGATCCTTGATGATGCAGGTGTCCCTCTTCCTGCATCTGGAGGTGTAGATGTCTGTGATGGTGAAGAGACTGACTCCGACAGACTTCTGTGCAGCCTTCACCACTCTCTGCAAAGCTTTTCTTTCTGCAGCTGTGCAGCCTCCATGCCACACGTTGATGCTGGAGCACAGGATGTTCTCCACTGCACACCTGTAGAAGGAGGTGAGGACTGAGCTTCGCAGACCAGCTCGTCTCAGCCGTCTGAGGAAGTAGAGTCTCTGATGAGCTTTCTTGATCAGGCTGGTGGTGTTGTTGCTCCAGATGAGGTTGTCATTCAGGTGCACACCCAAGTACTTGTAGCTGGAGACCACTTCTTTTAAGGGTAACACTTAGTGTTACCTATTTAAAGGCTTATAAACCCATCCCACACTCTTGCAATGTTCTTAACAATGTTCTAAACTCTTTAACTTTACAAAACTTTCACAAAAGAGCACAGCAAAAGAGAGCAGACGGACTGATGCTACGGTTATTGAGTCAGTCCGTGCCTGGGATACAGAGCACAATGCTCTGGATGCTCGCCTTCCACCAATCAACCAATCGTGTGTCGTGCACAATCTTACGTTGAAAACCCTCGAAACGGTGAATCCGCAAAAGTCGAACCATGAAGTAGCAAGGGACTACTGTAGTTGCAATAAGCCATTCACAATATTTGTTTTCATCTGCTCCCTTCTTCAGAGGTCAACACAGCAAACTAACTCACACAAAGACTTGGCAAATGTTTTAACACTAGATGTCCTTCCTGACGCCACCACAGTCCACGGAGCTACCAAAGCACTCTGTGTGGAGCAGAGAGCTGCTATCTAAGGCACCCGGTGGAGCAGATAGTGGGGGCTAAGGCCTTGCTCAAGGGCACAGATTGGGGCAAATGAGGGTGGAGGCAGGTGCAGGTGCTTCACCTTTCCCACCCACATTTTGATGTTGTTGGTACATGGAGTTGAACCGGCAACCAACACAACACTTATTTGATACAGTGTGTTGCAGCACTTTAAGACAGACATTTTGCAATGTATGAGATCACACATAACATTAAAATACTACAACTCTGTTTTTTATCAACACTGGATGATTTTTTTGTTTAATAGTCTGGCATGAACCAGAGTTTATTTTGATCTTCTAATATATTTAGCCTATTTTGATTTTACGAAAGTACACAGTACATTTTGCTTTAGTTAAGTGGTTGTGATTTACTGTATGTGCTGCGTAACATGTGTTACATATTTGCAAAGAATATGTATTATCCATTTTTAAAAAATAAAAACAGAAACAATATCTAGTAGCTTTTAAATAGTAGCATTAAAAAACAGTGATTTGACATCGAAAATACAACAACGACATAAAAAAATATATTATTCAATCAAACCATGTAAACATGTTTTTTGAACTGAAGAAGATCAGACACGCCACATCAAATTTCACCCCAACAAGGACACAAATGAGCAGTTTTATTTGTAAGTTGTGTTTATTTTAATTTAAAACAGCTTATACATATTTAACATGATTTACCATCTTCTGCTAAATTAACAAGAAGTGCAGGTTTGTTCTACTCTCATGTTTTTAATCTACACTTTATTACATCAAAGCAAGAAAATCTGATTATTCAAATGTTCACTCAAGTTTCATCACAAAGAGGAAAACCGGTATAGTGTTACACATTTCATTATACATAATTTGACAAATATAACTTTAAAACCAATAAGAATACATTTATTTAAAGAAAAACAAATTAGGCCTCAGCACAATCAAATAAAAAGAAAATAATTAGGACATGAAAATCCAGACAAAATGCAACCTAAATATAATCAATAAAATTTTACCCAGCTTAAAATAGAAAATCTATACACTTAACATTTACGTGCAAGATCACGATGTAATGAGGAAGCATTACAGATTAACTAAACTTAATTAATTAGTAATAAACACAGAAAAGACACCCTTGTTAATTTAACACACATTGATTTTTACAGTGACAAAAAAAAGTAACTCCAAAAGAAAATTAATTTCCATGCCACTCCCTTGTACAAACATGTTTACTTGGACTGGAGCTTTCATATATTTTATAGATTACATAAAAGAAACACGAAAAGGCAGAAAACAACAAAGATGAACCTGTACAGTCCACTTTTTTTTTCTTTTTTTTTTTTTTGTTAGTAGTGTGGCTGTTGCTTTTGTAGGTGTCAGGAAGGTTTTTTTTGTGTACTGCTTGCACCCTCTAGTGTACAATATTGTGCAAATATGTTTGTTGGGAAAAAAAAAAACACCTTTGGTTTTGATACAGCCACACATTAAACATTCAGTTATGCTTGATCAGCTTCCAAACTGACTCTATAATAATAAACTTTGTTGAAATGTTGGATTGAATTAAGTGTATGTCGTTCATTCTCCCTATTTGTCTCGAAACCAAGAGTACTGTAATATTGAGTAATATTGTATGTTTGAAAAATATTACACTTTGATCTTCTCTATAGTTCCTAAAAGAAGATTGACTTAATTTTATTTTTTCAGTCAAAGTATATGAAAATATACAAAATATTGAGGTAAAAATACATTTTGGAGTTTCTACATAGAAGGTAGTATTGACGAACCATTCTCAAGTTTTTTTTTTTAGTTTTTTTTTTATTAAGTCCTTGACCTAAATTAAATTTGCAGGTGAACTAATGATCCTAGCCCTGTGATGGACTGGATACCTGCCCAGGGTGTACCCCACCTCTAGCACAGTAACTGCTGGATATGGGCACCAGCGACCACCAGGGACCCCCGCGACCCGAAAAGGAAGAACCGAAAAGGAAGAAGATAATGGATGGATGGACTTATGTGCATAAACAATATCAACATTAAGTTAAAGAAAAAGGACAAGGTTCATAAGAATATACAACATAATATTCAAAATAAAATAAAATAAATGTATTATGTGCAGATAAAGTATCTTTCAATATCAGGGCAGTTTACGAGAAAGTGCATCGTGTCAAAACCAACTTTTTCTTAAAAGCGATCATAACCTTTTCACGAATTTCTTTTGTTTTTAGTCCATAGATGATTGGATTTAATGTTGGGGGGAAGATTAATGTAGACACTCCAATGAATCTTCTCACATGTGGCGGAATGTTTTTAATTCTGTACGATATGATAGAAAAAAGGCCTAAACATTCCATCAATAGAAACACAAAAAGATGCGTAGCACACGTCTGCAGAGCTTTTGCTTTAGTGTCTGATCGTTTAGTTCTAAAACATGCAAGTAGAATCTGGAGATAAGTATAAAAAACTGTTGCATTAGCTATCACTTGTGAAAGAGCACTTATAAAAAGCCCGTAGATGTTATTTATAGTTGTATCGTCACAAACCAGTGCCAGCAAAGTTGTATTTTCACAATAAGGGTGACTTATTTCAGATCGACAGAAGCGCAAACGTAAAAGAAGAATAAATAGCCCAGCTATTAAAGCTAGACAAGACGTCCACACAGCTGTGACTATTTTTATAATGTGAGCTTTAGTCATAACAGTGTTGTAATGCAAAGGGTTGCATATGGCCATGTATCGATCATATGCCATAGCAGCTAGAATGAACACAGTAGTTGCTGCATAAAGATGGATGAAAAAAGCTTGTGTGGCACAAGTTGAGAATAAAATCGTTCTGCTGTTTGTCATTATTTCCTTAATGAGCTGCAAAAAGAACGCAGAGGAGCCTATCAGGTCATTGATAGGAAGGCTGACCAGGAAGAGATGCATCGGCTGGTGCAAAGATTTGTTCAGCACGATGGTGAGAATCAGAGTAAGGTTACAGAAAATTATGATCATGTAGTTGAGAGTTGCAAAAATAAATACAGGGACGACACTTTCATTTGACAGGTTGTAGCCTTGAAAGTGTAAAAAAACGGATGTGTTGTACGAGAGGTCCATAATTCTCTTCTCATCTGTAGAGATACAAATATCATTTACAGATTCATATACACAGCATCAATCAACAAGCAAGCCCACTAAAGAGTCATATACTGTACATGAAATACTCAAAATGTTCAACCAAGATAAAAATAACATTAATATTTCAGTTCCTATTAGCAAACTGAAAATGTCCTACTTTTACAGGCTAAACGAACAATATTTAAACACGCTCTTCTCAGTGTGCTTTGAAATTAAACTTGAAAAGCAAACAAGAAGATTTTATCAAAATCATTCTTAAAAAATAAACTTTTTCAGAGAAATTTCAGTCTTATGATTATTTTTTTCAAGTGTTTGGCAACAAACATCTTACAATGACAGGTAAGGCGTTCAGTGGGACTGGCATCTTTATACCTGAGGGTTTTTTCTGAACATCATATGTTTCCCAGGAGTGCTCCGGGTTATTATTATTATTATTTTTGTTCCAGATTATTAATCGTTGGTAATTTGTTAATAAAAAGCAATAGAACGTGTTAAATTCAAACGTTAAATTAATAGTCATGTCTTTTCAGAACTTTATATTCATAAGTTCTTGGGTTTTCAGTCCACAGTCAAAAAAGGTTTTTAAAACTTAAATAAGAAACTCCAACAACTTTTCTCAGATAAAGGGATACGCTCAAAGGGTTGGGAGAGAACTGGAAATGCAACATTTATTTGTAACAATAAGAAAACAAGTAATGTGTATCACAAGTTTGAATGTTTCTATTTTCCTTCGTGTCTGTCTTATTAGCAATAAACTTGAGTGGAAATATTGGAGGTCTGGACCCCCCTACTTTAGGAAAAACAAAGATGGGGGAGATACATTCAGTGCATTCAGTTTGTTTCTGCAAGTTGTCTACCTGACAAATACATTAATGAATGTTTAATTTTCATTTCATTTTACAACAGTACATTTGCATTTAAATTAAGGGACCCCTAAACATTGCTCTTAATAATTTCCTCCCCCCCCCCCCCCCCCCAAATAATAAGGTGGGTTTGAGTTTGCTTTCAGCTTCTCAGACTCAGTAAGTATTTTGGATAAAAGACGAAACATTTCAACAAAGAAGAACCCGTCCAGATGACCTGATTCAACCTTGTCAGATATATCTGCATTAATTACTGAGCATGCATCAGCAACAGTCCAATTTGGTTTCATTCCAGATTGTGGTACCAAAAAATGTGATCAGTGTATCTGTCATGTTGGTCGAAAATGTGGGTAAATGGTGAGGGTTGTGTCAGGAAGAGGATATAGTGTAAAACAACAAATATGTGAGTTCCTCCAAGCGACACTATACCAAATTAGTCAAGGTTTGTTAACAATAACCAACACCAGTGCTGTTGACAAACAGGTTGCTGGCCAAAATTGTGTGACTGGTATTTAAAGACCGTGAGGAGGGAAATGTGTCATGAGAAAGAGGGAGAAGAGGGAAGTCATGAGTGGACTGAGAGACTGAGTAAGATGACTGAGGATAACAACTCTATAGGCACAATGATATACAAAGGTAGAGTTGGCTGACATGATGCAGAAAAGGAAAGTAGATACTGTATATAATGTGTACAAGAGATCAAATGGAAGGGCAGCAAAGCTTATAGCACTATGGTAGGGTTTAAGCTCTTTTGCGATAATGTGAATTGGAAGAGGAAGTAGAGGTGGTCATGAAGAAGGACCTTGAAAAGAATGTACCGGTAGTAGAGGTGGAAAAAAAAAGTGCATAAATGATGTGTCTGAAGGTAGAAGATTTGAGGTTGAATGTTGTCGGTGGTTATACTCCACATGTGATGTGATGAGGGGAGAAAGAAAAAATCTGGAAGGATCTAGTGACAAGGTTCTGGTTTTGGATTCAGTAACGGCACCAAACAGCAAGAATGGTTTAAAGAGTTTATTAAAGCAGAGCTGCTGGTGGCGATCTGGGTCCGTGGATGGCTCGGATATGTAGAGACAGAAATCTTGTGGGATTGACTGTGAAGGTTCTCAGAGAAATACAAACAGTCACTAATCTTCACAGTCAGGCAGAGAAAGGAATCCTTATGACTGGGCGATCCGATGACAACACCTGCAGTGAGTGAGATGCAGCAGAGCAGGAGATTTATGCAGCAAGAGGCTTTGGAGCAGATCCAGAAACGAGGTCTGATAGAACAGGCAGGGGACATACATAAGACTTCAGAAATCCTTAACTTAATCCAAAGCGAGATCCATGGATGTGCTATGGCTTCTCCAGTTTCTCCTATTGTTGCCATTGTTGTACATGGAGGAGGTAGAAAAGAGAGGTTTGGCATCTTTTTCAGGGTCATTGGTTCAGGTATGTTGATGACACCTGGGTTAAAATTAAATCTCAGGAAGTCCAACATTTCACTGATCACAACTCTGTGGATAAATATATAAAACTATAAATGTGGATACATATATAAAGTTAAGATGTAAAATATGGCACAGGCTGGGCTGTGAGGACTCGGTCTCTGAAGGAGGACATTTGCAAACTGATCGGAGTCATTAGGACTCTGTACCACAGAGCTGACAGTGGTCCCATTAACTCAGGAGCCAGGCAGAAGGAGAAATCACACACAAGACAGGCTCTAGAGCAATGTGGATATCCTAACTGGGCCTTCTTGAAAGCAGAGAAGAAACCCAAACAGGACTCCAGCTAGCCATCATGTGAAAAGGAGGAACCCAGACCCAGACCAGTGGTCATTCCATATGTTGTGGGAGTTTCAAAGAAACTGAGACATTTATTTTCTAAAAATGACGTCCCAGTGGTTTTTAAACCCCAAAATACATTACGGCAAAGACTGGTTCATCCCAAAGATCCAGTCCCCCGGCACAAACAGAGTAATGTTGTGTACGCTGTTCAGTGTCAGGAGGGCTGTGATCAGTTTTACATCGGGGAAACTAAACAGCCACTGGCCAAAAGGATGGCCCAGCACAGAAGATCAACATCATCAGGCCAGGACTCTGCGGTCTACACTCATCTCCAGGCCAGCGGTCACTCTTTCAGGGATGAAGATGTTCACATCCTGGATAGAGAGGAACGATGGTTTGAGAGAGGAGTAAAGGAGGCCATCTTTGTGAAAAGAAACCGTCCATCATTAAACAGGGGTGGAGGCCTACGTGTTCAATTGTCCCCCTCTTACAATGCTGTGATTGCTAGTATCACTCAGCCCTCTGTGAATAGTAAACAGCCATCAGTGTGCTAATGATCCATTGTTAGGCTGATGGTCCTTCTTGAGCATGTGATCAGCTGGTTTTGGTTGTCAGCAGCAAACTGGTTGATCCACTCTAAGAAGGTGCTATTTAAGAGACTGAGCTGAAAACAGCACCTCAGACTGAGGAAGTCTCTCGGACGAGAGACGAAACGTTTCTACATTTTTTTGTTGATTTGCTTTGTTTTGTTTTTTTGAATGTCCATAGGACCAGATTTAACTTTTTTAGAGTATTAATAGGTGTATGGGATGCTGTTGGCTGTTGTATCATGTAATAGATAAACGTGGCTATAATGACAAATTTTAAAAAGTTATAGACAAAAACAACTGGACTATATTTATTATACAATACTTTATGTTTTATTGTTTTTTTTTCTTGAACTTTTTAGAATTTACCATGTTCTGGATGACTGAGAATCTTCACCAGCTTCTAATGACTCAATGGACACTGCCTCCCCACCTTCATTCTGCTCTCTGCTTGGAACCGTCAAAATAGCTGCACCACCCCAGTGACTGTCCACCTCTTACAATGCTGTTATTGCTAGTATCACTTAGCCCCCCCTGTGAATAGCAACAACTCGTAATGAATGCCAACAACAAACTGTTCATACAATTTGAGTAGGTGATATTTATAAGACTGAGTTTATTATAGCTCCTCAGACTGATAAAGTTTTTGGTATAAAAGATGAAACATTTCAACATTTGTTTTTTAATTTTAATTTTTTTTATTTATTTACTACATCCATCCCGAAGACCTGACTTAAATTTGTTAGATTCAACACATAGTAACACTTGATGCCAAGAAAAGAAGAAGTTGTTTTAAGATTATTATTTTTTTGTTTGTTTTAGTGTAGTTGTTTTAAAAAGAGACACTTAAACCAATGTTTTCAACATTAGATGCTCGGTCTCAAAATGTTATACAAAGTATATACAGGTATATGTGTGTATATATACAAACCGGATTCCAAAAAAGTTTGGACACTAAACAAATTGTGAATAAAAACTGAATGTAATGATGTGGAGATGGCAAATGTCAATATTTTATTCAAAATATAATATAGATGAAAGAACAAAAGTTTAATTTGAGTAAATGTAACATTGTAAAGGAAAAAAGTGTTGATTCAAAATTTCAGTGTCAACAAATCCCAAAAAAGTTGGGACAAGTAGCAATAAGTGGGTGGAAAAAGGAAACTGAGCATATAACGAACAGCTGGAAGACCAATTAACACTAATTAGGTCAAATGACAACATTGGGTATAAAAAGAGCTTCTCAGAGTGTTAGTGTCTCTCAGAAGCCAAGATGGTAAGAGGATCACCAATTCCACCATTGTTGCGCAGAAAGATAGTGCAGCAATACCAGAATGGTGTTACCCAGCGTAAAATAGCAAAGACTTTTAAGTTATCATCATCAACCGTGCATAACATCATCAAAAGATTCAGAGAATCTGGAACAATCGCTGTGTGTAAGGGTCAAGGCCGTAAAACTCTACTGGATGCTCGTGATCCCCGGGCCCTTAAACGTCACTGCACCTCAAACAGGAATGCCACTGTCAAGGAAATAACAGAATGGGCTCAGGAATACTTCCAGAAAGCATTGTCAGTGAACACAATCCACCGTGCCATCCGCCGTTGCCAGCTGAAACTCTACAGTGCAAAGAGGAAGCCATTTCTAA